TATAAGTACTCAAACTGCTAAATGTCAATGAAACCATGAAATTAAATTACTCATCCGATTATAAACATTTAAAACAACAAATATTTCAAACGCGGATAGATTTAGCCAATTAAGGATTTTTTAAACATAAGAATATACAAGTATATTGCGGAGGGAACCCGGGGCATCGCCCGAGGTACATACTAGCGTATATATAAAGGGGAATTTTTTCCCGAGTTTTTAGAGAGTTGCGTACGATAAAATTTTCTTAACGCGCCATGTAAGATTAAAAATTTAAGTAATAGTTAGAGGTGATCATTAGGCGGGCCGGGCCAAGGCTTAAAATTTCAGCCCATATAGCGGGCCGGGCCAAACTTCAGGCCAAAAAGTTCGTGCCCAAACCCGCCCAAAATGCTCGGGCTGAGCGGGATTTTCGGGTCTGGCCAAAAAAATCAACTAAATTTGCGTAAATATGCATTCCCAAGCCCGCCCAATTTTTTTGAAAAATCGGGTCGGGCCGGGCCCAACCCGATTTTGGGCCGGAAAAGGCTGCCGAAAACCAACCTAAAATCGGGTCGGGCTGCATATGATCAGCTCTAGTTATAGCCAATCAAATAAGAGAATTTTAATATTTTTAGAATTAAATAATTCAAATGCCACATAACTAAAATTGGCAAATGAGATTTTAAAGTTTAAATTAATTACATATTAAATATTATCTTTTGATATTAGAAATTTATCTAAATATATAGCGAGAAAATTCCCAATTTAATATATATATATATATATAGTAGGCATTTTTGGAGAGCATTCGAAGCGCCACGTAAGAAATATACTTATTTCGACCAATAAGAAGAAAGATTTCTATTTTATTTTTGAATTAAACATTATGTCGCCACCTAGATAAAAGTAATGAATTAGATTTGATATATATTTTAAATTTTAATGCCCTAGATTATAATCCACGAATTAAATTATTTTAATGAAAAAAATAAAGTAAAAATATAGGAAAAGATAAATTTATTAATTCAGTACTACGAGTATAAGAAATCCAAAAAAAATATACTAAAAAATATTTAAATGATAAACGCTTATAATAAAGTTTGATACCTATCATTATAAGTTAAATTTTGATAGTATTTATGATAAGAAATACAAATTGTTCGTTGATTATAATTAAATTAAAATTTGTGATACCTACCATTATAAATTGACACATCATACAACACAAACAAAATTTCATATCAATAAAAAACTCCATCAAGCGAATTTTGTGTTAGTAATTTTGTGTTAATATTTGGTCATCAATGACCGGGTAATTTTTAGCTTAATTTTTAAAATCCTATGTTTAAATTAGTATTTCTAATTATTACTTACATTGAATTTATTTGGGATACTCAACGATTATATGTTTATGTTTTATTTAGAAATGTTTATTTACATGCAAATCTAACACATCATACGACACAAATAAAATTTCGTATCAATACAAAACCCCATCAATCGAATTTTGTGTTAGTAATTTTGTGTTAGTTTTAGGTCATCAATGTCCAGGTAATTTTTAAAATCTTATGTTTAAATTTATATTTGTAATAATTATTAGTTACATTGTATTTATTTAGGATACTTAACGATTATTTGTTTATGTAATGACATACGATTAGATGTTGTGTACTTAATATATGGATGACTTTGGTTATTTTTGGAGATGGTGAAAAAATTCCAATGCATAGATTTTATTTTATATCGCAACACGGTTCAATTTATCCATTGATGTAGTAGGTTGGTTGTGGACGAGGTTGGTGATTCTATCGAAATAAAAAATATGGTAAAACAATGAATAATGATATAGGATTTAAATTATTAAAAATTTATCATTTCACATTAAAGATTTTGTATAACGGAAAAAATATCATATTTACAATTTATTTATATTTAATAAATTCATTATAAATTATAGTAAAAAAAATTATATTAAACTTTTGTAATTTTGTCTAAAATTATTAAATACAATAAATCAAATAATTAAAAATCTTAGATGAAAAAACCGTGCATCGCACGGACTTCAATCTAGTTTATTTTATAATGAAAATAATAAATAATATACTACGTTTACGAATAAAATGAAAAATTTAATCACATACATAAAAAAAAAAAAATTCTTAAAAAAATATAAACAAACCGTGTATCGCACGAGAAAGGGAGTTTTTTCCCGAGTTTTTAGAGAGCCACGTAAGATTAAATTTTCTTAATGCGCCATGTAAGATTGTAAATTTTATTAATATCCAATTAAATAAGAGATTGGTAATTTTTTTTTTAGAATTAAATAATTCAAATGTCACATAAGTGAAATTGGCGAATGAGATTTTAAAGTTTAATTGAATTAAATATAAAGTATTGTATTTTGAAATTAGGAATTTTATTTAAACATATAATGAATGAGAGAAAATTCACAATTATCTTAAAATAAAATATTAAATGATGTACTACATACAACAAATAAAATACGGGTAACAAATTTTATCACATAAATACAAACATACTAGTTGAAGCCCGTGCGATGCACGATTTATTTTATTTTTTAAAATAAATTTTATTCGTTGTACATAATATATCAATTAATATTTTTATTTTTCAATAAATTGTAAATTTCCTTCCCTTTGTTATATATTTAGATAAAATTCCTTATTTCAAAAGATAATAATTTATATTTAATTAATTTAAACTTTAAAATCTCATTCGCCAATTTTGCTTATGTGGTATTTGAATTATTTAACTCTAAAAGAATTTACAAATCTCTTATTTAATTGGATATAACTAACGTTTATAGTCCTACATGGCGCGTTAATAAAATTTAATCCTATGTGGCTCTTTAAAAACTCGGGAAAAAACTCCCCTTTATATATATACTAGTTTCGTGCCCCGTGCGATGCTCGGGTTGTTTATTATATTTTAAGATATTTTTTTTTTTAATCTATATGCTTAAATTTTAAAACATATCATTAATATAAACTTTTTATCTATCCAAATAAATCATATGTGTCAATAATGATTATTTGTTACCTACGTACACCACACTTATGAAAAGTTGGAATGCCATATCTCGTCCCCTGCTGGCTAATCGAACCGCTTAAGTTTTGTTATATCGCGTGACTTTGATTAATCGTACAACTTTATATATTTATTAATGACTAACTTATTTTTTATGTCAATCAACAAAATATATCATAAATAGATTTATTTTGAAGTATTCTTTTGTTTTTTTTTTTTTTGAAGGAAATTTTGAAGTATTCTTTATCACAAATATTATAATAAAAAAAATTAGGATAATCATAGAGAGTTATAATCTAATTATTAATTTGAATAAAATTATACTTTAATTTATAATATTGTATTTTATCAAAAATAAAGCTTTAAACCAATAATTTTATCCTAAATTCTATCCAAATTTTATTGAAATTAAAACTATAAACCAACTTTTTTTATCGTACAAAATCTATCCAATTTTTTTATTAAAAAATACATTCAAATAAGTCGTATGTGTCAAAATAATTATCCTTATATGGCGTCTATGTGGCTCAACACTTGGCGAAAAGTTAAAATGCCAAGTGTCGCTGTCTCGTGGCCTTGCTGCGAGACCGACTTTATATATTAGTGATATGATATTAGATTTGTGTAAAAAAAAAAAAAAATGCATCGCATGGGCTTCATCTAGTATCATTTATGAGACAACTAGATGAAACCAGTGCGATACACGGTTTGTTTGAAATTTGTAAATTAATTTTTTTTTTTTTTTTTTTTTTTTTGTATTTATGTGCTAAAATTTGTTATATATTTAGATAAATTTCCTAATATAAAAAAGATAATATTTAGTCTCAAGTCAGTTGGAAGCTGTCTCTTTTTTCCACTTTGTCAAATAATATAAAATAAAACAACACGCCAAAAACTGTTAGAAGTATCAACATTTCTTTTTGGCTCACATTGATTTATGGATACACTTTTGGTAACTACCTGAGAGTTTCCGGTTCCAGGATTAGAGGCTTAGAGCTACGAATAACTTTACAACACCCAGAAGCAAAACCCACAACCTGATGCAATAGGACGGCTCATCCAACTAGGGATGTCAGTGAGGCGGGTCTAGTAGGAGACCCGCCCCGATGGGGCGGGGATGGGTCTAACTTTGGCTGGTCGCGGGGCGGGGATGGGTCTAAAATCCATACCCGCCATGGGTGATAGGGCGGGGGTGGTTTTTATGTAATACCCGCCCCATACCTGCCCCGCCCCGCCCCGCCTGACCCACCCCATACCCGCGTTATACCCGACCCATAGCATACAGCACACAAAAAAAAAAAAAATACTAAACCTAATGAAGTCTCTAGAACCCAGTAACCCATACTCATTCTCAAAACTAAACCCTAGCCTACTCTCTCAGTCTCTCCTCTCACAATCTACCACCTCTGAATCTTGCCGCTCCGATCAAATCTCTCCTCTCAACGCTCCGATATGCAATTCTTACAATTTGCTAGATAAAGATTCATCAGATAAACGTTTATTAAGCTGGATTAAAAGCGAATACAGTTGGAGTTCCATTTATTTTTCTCCTGGTGTCATTTTTTGTTTCCGTGGGTTTTTATGGGGTGGGTTTTGATTCTTTGAAGCCTTTCAATGAATTTTCAGATTAGTATGTGCATTGGATTGAATCATAATTTTAATTCTAGACCTTTGCTATGTGAACATGTGATAGATGATGATATAAAAAAACAAATAATGCAGTGGAGGATTAGTAGGAAAAAAACAAATAAAGCAGCAGAGGATTAATAGGAAGAAATAAATAAGACAACGAAGGACTGGAGGAGTAGTTTGGCGGGTATGGGGTGGGGATTTGGCGGGTATGGGGCTGAGACGGGGATGGGGTGGGGGTGGTTTTGGAGTTGGATCCGCCGGGGCGGGGATGGGGATGGGAATGCCAAAACCCGCCCCGCCTCGTTGACATCTCTACATCCAACAACCGCCAGGATCCATTTTCCAACGGGTAATCTATTTAACTAAGCATTAATTTGCATCCAATAACATAGCACATCACCTATTCAGACATCTCCAAAACATATGATACCAAAACCTGGTCTAGGAATGAGCCGAAAACGAACTGCGAGAATCTACATGGTGAGTAATAGGATACTCTTTACTACTTTATTTTCCACTTGTGTGATGACCGAGGTGCTGTGTTTATGCCGCTGTAGTACTTAGATTCCAGTTGTTTAGAGTTCCAGACCTCTACAAATTCGGAGAACAATTCTCGTGTTTGTTCAGAGGAAAGATCTGAAAAGAACTTCCATTTCTCCTCCTTCAGCCATGTAGCAAATTCGTTGTTCTTGGAGTAGTAGTCATCATTTGTAATTTCTTTGAAATCAGATATCTAAAAGGTAAAAAAAAATGATACGAAGGATTAGTTTTGGCAAACAAGGACATTAAAACTAGTGACTAATACGGAGTAACTTCAAAACTCAGCCTACTACCAAGTGCAGCGACACAGAGATAAAATACTCACTGGATGCTGGCTGGATTTAGAACCTTCAGTTTTGTGCTTTTTGTCTGACTTCTTTTCTGCAGCAGTATCCACAGACCAGTACAATGATCCAGCATTATTTCATTAATATACTAAACAAGAAATTTTTCTACAGTTTACAGACAAGAATCATTACAATTGGATGAATGCAAAGACCAAAATAAGTACAAGAGATGCATTATAATATATTTGAGTAACCGATTAAGCTATATAACAGCAACCTTTCACGACAATTGCTTCAAAACGTATTGGGACAAATAGTAAAGCTCATGAAAATCTTTACTATTTTGCCCAATTGTAAACAGCAACCTTTCACGACAATTCCTTATGTGACCACTTTACAAAATTTTATTCCTCTCCCTAGTGCACGAATGACATCAATAAAAGTAGCAAAGTGAAACATAAAATACAATCCGTCTGTTCATTAAAACACAAATTATGCAGGTGAAGGAGGAAAAAGGCTTAAGGACATTCTTATAGGTGGCTCAATGTTTTTGCACTTCATATTTCATAGCAAAAAAATAATTAGAAAACTAATTAAAAGCTCTGCAATCCTGATTTTTTAGACAATGCGATGTAGGTATTTATAGTTCCGACTTTTTCTCTCTTTCTGTCTTATATTCTATATATTTGCGCTCTCATCTCCTGTGCTTCTCCTCTGCTTGAACAACAATGGAAAATGTTGTAATTCACGATATCTTGATTTGCTACTCATTTTCGCTGAGTTTTCGAATTATATCTTGGTTGAAAGTTTATTTGCGTTTTAGAACCAGTTCTGTGCTGCAAACTAGGGTTTCAATTGATTAACAGTGTGTTTAGAACTGAAGACTTTGGGGAGAAAAGAAAAGATAAGGAGGGAGGGATTTCCAATGTTTGGAATTTTGGATAGTACATTGAGAAGATGAGAGAAAAGGAGGGAAGGGGAAGGGAATGGGAAGAATTACAACCATGCAGCCAAATGTCTCTCACAAATCACAAGATTTAAAACCATCAGCAGCAGCAGCAGCAAGTGACCATAGGCATACCGATACATCCCAGCATCAAAGCCACAGTAAAGTGTTAACCTTCTACACAAGACAACCTGCATCTGTTTTGCTCATAAATTTGATAACTCCTGCTTACAAAATAATCAAACACAACACAGCAACCAACAAGTCCTATATGACAGCTCCCTATGACGTCAGCATGTGCACCTATATTGATGCTTGTGTTCTAGTGCATGTTAATATATTATGTGTTAGCTGTTTTTATGTGCAAACAAGGAAAGATGTTAGGGAGGGCAATCCATAACAATATGCTTAAAATAAGATAAAATAAAATTAATGTTGTCATTGTGACTTAATAGAGTTAATGTAACATGCTTGGAGTCTTTGATATTAGAGTATTTGCAAAAACTACAGATTGAGAAGTATCACTGAATAAATTACAGCAAAACTCCAAATTTAGACATGGTTAATAGTTAATACACTGCATCAGAATATGTGAAATTCTCAACACCAAATCAAGTTAAGAAAAACCTCTGCAAAGCCTGTGTAGAATGCAGATGCACTAATTGCAGCCAAATGCCTTTCACAAGTCACAACCATTAGCAACAGCAGTAAGGGATCATAGGCATGACGATACATCCCAACATCAAAACTACAGTAAAGTGTCAATGGCAACCTGTATCTGTTTTGCTCTCAAGTTTGGTAACTCCTGATTACAGAATAATCAAAGACAACACAACACCTAATATACGTCAATGATTTACTGTAACTAGCACTACAAGGAAGCCGAAAAGAAAAGGAAGTTCAAAAGTACAACATTGATCAGTTAGCAGTTTAGCTCAAAAACCTTGCATCAATCAGAATAGGGAATATTCAAGATAAAGCCTCTGGATGTGTATCTTAAGACTTTCAGAAATTGAGAATAGCTACATCACACGCTATTTTCCAAACAAGAGAGAAAGTGCAGCTCGTGAAAATGTTCTTTTGCAGAGCAGCTTCACAATAATCCAAATGGTGGCAGTCAATTAACAAAAGTTATAAGTTATAACACTGACCAAGAGTGTACAAAGACCAAGAAACAACAAGCCTCCAATCATCCGTGACTGTATGATTTGCAGCTAGATGAATAAGTTAAAGGCCATGCCTTATAATATCAGTAATACTTCAAGCAAGATATCCAAAATCCATATAGAGGTGACAAAACTAAACCAATAGGGTTAGTTTAAACATCCCAGATTTGGAAGCTATGTGTGATCCACTTCATATCCCAGTAGGAAAGATTCATTCAAAGTGAAGTAATGATACATCGCTACATTAGGAGTAAAAGGAGAGAGTGCAGACTATAGAAGTTAATAGATTAATCTCTCCAATATTGGAGAGATTTGGTAAGAAAATGGTAACAATCCTCACATAAGTTCTGCCTCTCCTCTTTCACTAGCTTCTACTCTCAACTCCTTTCCCCTGCTTCTTTGCCCACTTTCCACCCCTTTTTACTTTCTCTCTCTTTTCCCCGCTTCATACTTCCCTCCAGTTCCCTCCTACGCTACATCATCCAAACAATGATATTAACATTTTTTCATCCTTTCCCTCCCCATTTCTCCCTTCCTCTTCGCTCCCTTTCTTTTCTAATTTTCTGTCAAAACACACAGTAAGGTGCTTTTTTTTTTTTTTTTTTTTACCTTTTTATTTCCTGCTTTACAATCAATTTAGGACGCAAGTCGGGAACAATTGGACTTGTATTACTATTCTAGAGGCTAATACTTCAACGTCGTACCCCAATTATCAACTTTCACCTCCCCTTCCACATCCAAACAAGAGAAGTTGAATTTCTTCCTCCCACCTTCCCTTCCTTCCTTTTCCCTACCATTCCTTCAAATAGTGCTATCCAAACATGCTGTCATCATGCTTTGAAGGAACTTTCACAAACATTTCAAGTTAAAAACTCCCAAATTCCAATTCGATTTTTATTACTATCCAAGTAAATCCATTTCATCTCGCAAACAACTAACAATCATTTTGACCCTTAGAAGAAAATTCAGCAATTGCACAATTCATGAAACAAATAATTATGCACAATAACATGGCATAAATTTTACGAGAGAAAGAATAAACAACGGTAGATGGTTCTAACCTTTTCCAGAATGACGTTTAGAATGCCTGTCAGAATTGCTATGACGGGATTTGTCTCTTTTCTTGCTACCTTTGTCATAATCATCTGATTTTTTGTGCCGTTTGCCATGACCTTCATCTGCAAAATTACAACATCAACAACAATACAAATAATCTGGTACCTTAAGAATGCAAATATTAACGGAAAAGAAATTAATTAAGAAGTAGAAGCAATAATTTACGAAAAGAACCTTCGGAACGAGAATCTGCACTTCTTTTTCTAGTTTTATCCTTGGATTTTCGATCACTCCCCATTATTGCGGCCTGTCAATTAGTTAGTTCGATTAACGATTTTGTCCACCAATCCGAATTAAATTACTGCACTGACAATTAAATTAAATGAGATCAAAGATGAACCCTAGATTGTGAAATTGATATGATGATTTCTAAAAGAAACAACAACTTACCTCGGAAGCTGCTTCAATGGAGGATACAAGTATTCGATGGAGAACGTGAGTGCGATGTTAAGTGCGCTTCAATGGAGAACTGAGAGAGAGAGGGGAGCAAGAGGCACTAGCTAGGCAAGGCTATGGGCTCATCAGCTCATCCGTTTATTTTTTCCCTTGTTGACAGAGCATTTTTAACGGGTCAGATCCGTCCTATAGATAATTGTGCTGGGTCTTTATACGATTGCCCAATTAGTCAATTATGGGTCTTTGATGGAACGGGTTGGATTTATAATGATTTCAAATGAAAAATAAACCTCTTTCTAAATTTCTCTTTTACCTTTCTATTTTCTCAAATATCATTTTTTTAACAAGAAGAAATGATTTTCATTTAAAAAATATAGTCAATCGGCGGTTACATATAATTCCTAATAAATTAAGAATTTCAGCACAAGTACATAACACCTTAAAACCAAATAAATCGCAGATTCGATCAACATTTACCTAAATAAAAAAACTTCATCTGAAGCAATACAATCGTTGATTTAGCACTGATTCGGCTTGAAATCTACTTATGCATAATCGTTTGAGCGAAAATACTCTTGTGGTCCTCTGGACTCTTATGGAGATTATGAAACTTTAGATCTTTAATTCTCGCCCTACAAATTGAAAAAGATAATAAATACAAGAGAAAAACCATCATCTCAAGGGGGAGATCTATTTATTAAAAACAATTAAAAAGTTTTTGGGGTTTACCACCGATAAGAACACTAGTGAAGCCACTACAAAGATTCATAATCAAGACCAAGAGGAAAAGAGATGGTAGTGATGGAGAGAAAGGAGAGAGAAGGAAACCCTTCAATAACAAAAAAAAACCTAACAATAGAGGCTTGGAAAATCTTGTAATACCCCATAATTTGAAAAGTATTTTCTAATCAATTAACTATTTATTATTCTCTAAAAAGGGTATTTTTGGTAATTTATTTTTTATTATTTGAATTTTGGACTAAAAAATATTTGAATTTTGGCGTCAAATCTATTTTCAAACAAAATTATTATTTTAGATTTTGGATAGAATTAATTATCCACTTAATTATTTATTAAAATCAAATATATGTATTTATAAGACATAATTTTTGGATATTTTAGTATTTATTAAAACTATTTCTTATTTAATTAATCCATCCGAATTTTATAAAAGAATATCCTAGACTAATTAACTTAGGATTTTTGGAATTTCTAGTTAAAGAAAATCTGATTATTATAAAGTTATTAGGTTAAATTAATTAAGGGATTGGCAAAATTGGCCTCAACACCCTAAACTATTTTTTTTTTCTTTTTTGGTGTTTAGAGAACCACAAGGACGGTGGTGAAAATCGATTTCAAGATCTCCTAGAACCGGAAGGGAAGCTCAAACCACTTGAGCTATCCTTCACTCTGAACTGTTATTTAAGTGCACTCAGCACCTTGTACTTTGTATAGTAGCCAAAATTGACATCAACACTTTGAACTATTGTTTAAGTGCACCCAACACCTTACACTTTGCATAGTAGCCAAAAACACCACAAACTAATGACTTGGGTGTAAAGTGCACATCCACCATTTTCGCAGAGCGGGTAAATTAAATTTTGATTTGTGTGACGAAAATGTCCCGTTAAAGTTTCGGGGGTCACTTTTACTCTTAAGGGACCAAATTGAGAATTTAATAAGAAAAAAAAAATATAGCGTAAATGACTCAATTCGGCTTAAAAATCAATGACACGCAAATCGAGATATTTTATAACACACAAAACGAGTAATTTACGCTATTATTTTGCTTATTATGAGCTCTATTTGAACCTTTAAGTTCAAAATGACCCCCGAAACTTTAACGAGACATTTTTCGGCACGCAAATCAATAGTTAAAAATTTAATTTACCGGCTCCAACGAGAATGGTGGCCGGAAAGCTTACTAAAGGCACACTTTGCACCCAAGTCATGAATTGGTGGTGTTTTGCCTACTATTCAAAGTACAGGGTGCACCCAAGTTATAGTTCAGAGTGTACTGTTGAGGTCAATTTTGCCTAACATAATACGAAGTATAAATAAAATTAAATAAAACAAAATAGAAGACTAAACTAAAACAAATAAGAAAATGAGAGAAATGAGATATAATTAACTAAAACTGCGAAATTAAACTAAAAACTAGGAAAAACGACGCAAATAATCAAATTAAAAGATAAAAGACATGAAAAGGAAAATAAGTGAAATAAAGATTAAAACAAGGGTGCTTAAAAAAAATATATAAAACAAGGGAAATTATTGGAAAAAAAAAACTCTCTTAAAAAAAAAAAAAAAAAAAAAAAAAAAAACTCCTAAAAGTATCATAAATGTTACTTATTAAGTTATTAGTTGCTTATTCCACTTGTGAGATTTCTAAGTATTCATTAAGTTAAGGGTTGGAACTTGGAATCTACATTTAGAGGATTTGTATAAAATGACAAAGTCTCAAATTGATATAAAACAAAACCCACTAACCTGTCAAAACCCGCTTAGAATCTAAATTCAACCCAATAAAGAAGAAACCGATGAATCAAATTGACCCATTATTTTTTTCAACGACCCGCTAATAGATTGAACTGTTTTAACCTGACCTAATGTAACCCGAACTGACATGAAACCAAACTCACATTACCTAGGTAAACTCACTCCAAAATGGACTCGTTTCAAACCAACTCGATTATGACCTAAATTGTTTACAACCCCAAACCGTTTACGAATCAAACCAATTTGAACTCGAAATTACACTAACCCAAATAAACCTGCTCCCAAATTGACCCGTTTTAAACCAACCCTATTATGACATGAACCGCTTTTTATCCGAACTGTTCACGATTCGGACCAATGGGAACCCAAACTCGCTTGAACCTAGGTAAACCCGCTCCCAAACCGACCCGTTTCAAACTAACTTGATTAACACATGATTTTCAATTCAAACAGTTTGCAACCCAAAACGACTTAAAACTTCACAAAAATAAATGGTAACGTTTGGGGTAAAAATTACCCCTGCCACGTGGCCCAATGGGGGACTGACACGTGCGTGTCAACCTCGTAGAGGCCCAAGGGGATCCAATCAGAGGAAGCCACGTGGCATTGTACCCCTAATAGGGGAGCAAATCTTCATCTGCTATAAATAGAGGAAATTCCTCATTTATTAGGATTCATAAATAAACAAACACGAGAACCGAGCAATATTAATTGCGGAGTCTCTCCGAATCAGGGAGAATTATTTACCATTCGTACAGTTTACTACTCCAGACGTATACTAACTTGATCGTCGGAGGCGAAACTCCATCCCACCGGAGTTTCGTGGTTTTGCAGGTACAGATAGTCGGGCGCGCATACTCAAGATCGTAACTCTCCCGAGGGACTCCAAAAACCCCGAAACATTTGGCGGCCGTTTGTGGGGAGAGTACTTCTGAGATGGCATCTGATACTATGCTTGCAGAAGGCAGCCGGCCTACGGCTGAACCTGAGGTCCATACGGACCATGATAGTGGTGACGACTATGAGGTCGACACCTATGTGGCCCCAGACGGGTCATTTCGAACGCGGCGCACCCGTTCCAAAGAAAAGAAGGAACGGGGCCAAGACAAAACTAGTACCAGCAACCCAGGCGGCAAGCACGCTGGGCAACCCCAGGCGGCGGAGGGCACAGCCCCCGTCACCAGAGACAAGCTCATGAAATTCATGACGAGTTTCAAAGGGGAAATAAAGGATATAATTAAAAAGTCAACTGGCTCAAGCAAGGGTCAGTCGGCAAATAAGCCTTCTTCCTCCGGGAAGAAGCAGATTAAAGACCGGGTGCCTACTCCTCACCCCAAACCCAAGGGGACGGATGGGCCCCTGATCGACCTCTCAAAGCTTTGTTTCCCTGAATCAGGGCAAAGGAAGGCCATCCGGCAAGTACAGCCGGATGGGTCAAAGAAGACTTTCTCTGACGCCCGGATGTTCATCTAGGAGAAGAGAAGTCAACAAATGTCTGGGTCGGCCTCAACGTCGACTTACCCAAACAGTTTCCGCAATACTTCAATGAAGCATTCGGAAACACATCAAGGGAGTCAGTCACGCAGCATGTCCGCACGTACTGGCCCTCATATCATCCAGCCGGTTCCGTATGTTCCCCAATAGCCATACATGCTGTATGGATCACCGTACATGCAGCCGTCCCCCTTTGGGGGTCAAGCGGCACATCAAGTCCAGCCTATGGACTGGCAGCTCCGGCTGCTAAACCTAAGGGAACAGTCTTCGGCTTTCTCCCGGGAGATAACCGAGGCGGCACAGCCGGTCGAGGTTAAGAATGTGTTGGTCGGTACCTACGACGGTACCACCAACCCGGAAGACCACCTAATGGCATACACCAACCTCATGTACCTACAGGGGTTGGATGATGCCCCTTGGTGCCGATGCTTCTCGGCTACATTAAAGGGCATAGCCCAACGATGGTTTGACAACCTGCCAGCCGAGTGCATTAACAGCTTCAAGACGCTTGCATACCTGTTTGCGTCCAACTTCTCCATGAACATCCCTGCCAAAAAGACAAGTCTTGACCTAGGGGCCAGCAGGGAGACAAGGAGGGACCGTCTGGCTGATGAGGGGGCTCTGAAGTCTTACTTGGTGAAGTCCAAGGGTAACCCCAAACCCAACAATAAACAACCGTCAAATAAGCCGGCTGTGAGTTCTGATATTGATGAAGAGCACATCTTCACCATAGCAGGCGGCTTCAAAAGCGGTGGTCCTACCATCCGGGGTACCAAGGATAACATCCGGAAACTATCCAACCCAGAGGATGAGGGCCAGGCGTCGAAAGACACCTTCCCTGAGGTCTTCATCTCTGAAAAGGATCGGGGTATGGTTAGGCGGTCCCATGATGACCAAATTGTCATCGAATGCATGGTTGCCAATCAACGAGTTGGCCGGATCTTAATTGATACCGGGAGCTCGTCTGACCTGATTAGCTATCAGTGCTTGGCAAAGCTCAAGTACAAGCCTAGCAGTATGCACAAGGCTTCTCACCCTCTAGTCGGCTTTGGGGGGGGGGAGTAGTGCATCCGGTGGGGAGGATTGAACTACCCATCCGGCTAGGTGAGAAGGGGGAAGGACGGCACATGGTCGTCATGTTTTTGGTGGTCAAGGAATTGACCGCCTACAATCTCATTTTGGGTCGTCCTA